TTATAAGATTTTTCTTCAAACGAAGAAACTTCATATGAACGCATATAAATGTTTTATCTGAATCGCGAACGCGACGCGATCCAAGCTAGGAACGCGATACGATCTGATCTGAATCGCGAGTGCGATACAATCTGATGTAAATCGCGAACAGGACGCGATTTGTTTTTAATCGCGATCGCGACATAACCTGAATCGCGAACGCGACGTGACTTGGAGCGCGAACGCGACGCGGAAGACTTTTCACTGTGCGGGAGTTCTAAGACTCCTCGTGTCTTGCCAAAAATTCTTATCGTGAGTCATGGTTAATATTTTCTGAAAAAAATAAGATTCTAGCGTGATCACGATGTGACAGCACGAGTCGATGGCAATGGTGAACACGACGACGGGATCACACCATAAGTTTAGCATGAAAGTTGACTTGGAATATGAGTAGAGTACACGTTCGGATAGGTTAGTACAGACGTGAAGCATCTATAAACTTCATTAATATGGAAAAGTTTTTCCCTTCATAATTGTGTCATCTGTGAATTTTTTAAACTGTTCGGAATAGACATCGACATAAATTTCAGATGAATTCTAAAACCACATTGTTTTAGTAATTTGCACAGTGTATTTTACTATTGGATATATTTATAAAGTTCATACAAATTTGCAAAGATTATGTATGTTACAATGTGTAAATATTATGAATATGTTAATTTTTTTCATCGTCTAGTAAAAAAAAATCAACTGATTTCAATTTATTCTAAATGATACGCATTTTTTGACATTATACATTCAAGTTTATCATATGGTGCGTATGTTGTTCAAGGACGTATATTTTCTCGTTCATTCAACTATTAATGTCAAAAAAAGAAAGAATTATGTACATGGAATAGGACATCCTTTGACAACGAAATTTATATGTTTCTCCATTTCTATAAAGAGCAAATAGGAGTAAAGATTGTTTCGTCCGTAAGTCGTATTTTATATACCTTTATATGTTAAATGGTGGAGGAAACTGCTCTGTAAAACTATAATGTTAATTCTACAAAGACAATTCTCGTGCTTAGGTTTTTTGTTCCTATAGAGTTTTTCTTCGTTCAACTATTCCTGAGACGTAACGCTTGATATAGGAAAAACAAGGTTTTTCAACAAGGTCTTGCTCATCGCAATAATCCTTGAATTTGTTTGTTGCATAATTGTTTAAAATTCAGCCAATTTTTTATCTTTACTAGAATCGAGAGAACTTTTTCACAACTCAAACATATCACTTTTTTTTCTCCTTTCGTACATAAAACAGAGACAAATACACACTTTATATGTCGTGAAAAAGACAGATGTGTTTGCAATGCTTTAGTAAATAATCATGTTCAATAACCCTCCTTGTTGTGACATTTTCTTCTTCGGCGTAGTGTCATAGATTCAAACAATTTTGTAAGTAAATAAAATAAAATGTTCATGTAGAGAAAGGCGACAAATCAGTTAATTTGCTTTTGATCACCATATATCAATTAAGTAAGAAAAGTATCTTCCGGTAGGCAAGATTAATTAAAAGTGTACATATTTTTGTTCAAATATAATTAATTATACGCAAAAGAACATCAAACTACGTTCATCATATCTTTTATGTGAGCAACGCGAGATAGTAGCATACAGCCATGTCAAAAATCAGAAATATATCAGTATAATTTGAGAAAACTTTTGAAGAGCGTACTTTACGCAACCAAATTTTCTAGAGTTGAATATTATTAACATTTTAGATTACAAATGTTAAGAACACGAACCGATCGAAAGGTAAATTATCGAAATACGTATATAAGGAATTCCCGTGCAATTGGTGTATTATGGGGATTATTTACAGCTTGTTTTGCTATACTCAATATTGTCGTATTTTTACAACCACAGTGGATTGGCGATACTCTTCAGTCTCCCACTGCCGGACATTTTGGTCTCTATGAATACTGTTTAGTCAGTTACAACGATATAAACTATGAAAGTAATTGTAAAGGTACATGGAGTAATTTTAAAACAATTTTAAATCCCCCATTTGCTGCAGCAACATTTTTTGTGGGTCTATCGTGTCTACTAATACTTCTTTGTCTTGTATTATTCGTGTTATTCTTTTTCATCAGTTCAAGAATCGTCTATATCATTTGTGGATGTTTACAATTATTATGTACAATATGTCTGATTATTGGCGTTATTATTTACCCATCAGGATTTGATAATGAAATCGTTCGATCTGTATGTGGTCAAGAAGCAAAAGATTACAATGCAGGCTTATGTCAAATACGTTGGGCGTATATTGTTGCAATAATTAGCATTTTTGATGTCCTCTTACTATCGATATTGGCATTTACATTAGCACTTAAACAACCGAAAAACGTTATAGTCACGAATGATGCTGATACTAAATATGGTCAATTAAATGGCGGTTTTGGCGTCGACGATCAACCGCCTTTGGAACAACAGAGATACATGTAGAAAGAATGCATTTACTATCTGCGAGTAGAAATATTCTATTTTTCAAGAATTAGTATATACCCGTTCGATCTCGAACTGTTTATGCAGGTTAACAGGTTAATTTCTGAAAAGAATTTTACCTAATTTGCTTCTCACTCCCTTTTCGAACTCACAATACATGCTCGAAACGATGAAGATAATAGACTGACACTTTTTGGCAAGATGTGTGATATATGTATAAGATATTTTCTGCAGAAAGATATGTTTCATTCTTTGATAGGCTCCTAGTAATAAAGAGTAACGCCACCTATAGCTTTTAATTCTTGAGAAGGTTTTCTAGGAACTTGTTCTATGTCTAACCTAATATCCGTCTCACTGTAATCACAAGTTTCTCTTTCTCAATTAGTTTCTCTACTTCTTCGACTTGAGAAAGCACATGTTGTTTATTTGAACTCGTTATGAATTTATTTTAATTGGCTTTTTTCTATATCGTCGTTTTTTTTCTTCTTCTTTCTGTCGTCAAACCATTTATCTGTTGTGCATATTAAACGATTCATGCAATGTTTAAAATTTGACATCAAACTTTTTAATTGACTGTTAATAAAACAATTATGACGTAAAAAAACTATTTAATCTTATACACATCTATTTTATACACTCATATGTTCAAAAACTATCAGCTCATTCATAACCGTTCAAATGCATATATTCCAAAAGTTACGTGCCAGTTTTCGTCGCAAACATCATTCAGATTCGAAAACACTGCTAACAGACGTAAGTTTTACTGTGTTATCCTCTAACTACGAATAAGACGAACAATGTGTACAGTTAGTGACGCCGATATTTCTAAAAATGGAGAAAGAAGTTGTTTTGAAACTAACAAACATGGAGTCTATTCACATGTGTTCGACGTTACACGTGGCAAATATCTTTGTTATTTTTTTTCCTGTGTTAACCAGTTTGTTCTGTTCAAATAAGATGCGGTCAATTTGTGCAGAAAGAGGTGTCTGTTAGATCCTTGCTAATAAAGAATGAAGGTTATATATGCCTTTTTGGCCTGAAAAATCATTATACACCTTTAACGGGAGATTTTTTCTTCAACAACTTTTTTCTATTTTTTCTTGTCTATAGATTGTATTTCTATTTAGGAGTTGTTGCAAGTATCATCTTCAAATGTATCAGATAAAATTGAACAATTATTATTCAACAATGATGAGTTAAACAAAACGAAAGAAAACTCTACTTGTGAAATAATTCGTCAAATATATCATTATCGTATGAATGAGTTTGATAAACTAACGCTCGACAAAGAACATCCCAAACGTTTGGAATTTGAACAATGCATATTGAAGAGTTTAGTAACGAATATGAAAAACGATCAAGTTATTAATGATCAGAAGACAAATCCATTTCAACGAAATATGCGTCTGTATAAATCGATGCCAATTGCCAAAGAGACGATGAAACATAAACTTGGGCTAAAATCATACTAGAAAGTCTTTTTTGATTAAGCATCTGTTCTTTTCTCTGTTTTATGCTTGTAATTTAAATTATTTAATATTTATACAGTGAATTTAATAGATGTAGTTTTGTTAGTGTATAGTACGGTATTTTAATCACAACTTTATGCCATAAGATAATATTTTTGTTGAGTGTCTCGTTTAATGCCCTAGTGGATGAATTGTTCAAGCAAGTACCCTCGCATCCAACGTTCTTAGCTCAAGTAGTGGAATTACTTGGTCTGCTTGTCAAGCCCTTGGCTAAGTACTTACCCAAGCAACCCTCAAGTATCTGAGAAAAGTTTGATAAGTAAATCACGTACTTTAGCAGGCAGGTGCTACTCTTGAATAAATTCTACAAGTACTTGAAGTACTCGGGAAGTGGATGACAAATAACGTGTGTGTGTTGGTTGAATAATGTTTATTCTGTTGTTTTACTTTTATTTTAACATAGCGAGTGCGTAAGAAACAACTCGTGAATGTGCTCATAAAACGTTACTCAGATCAACGAGACTGTGTGAGATCATCATGTGATCATTTGTGTTATTTCCATTTTCTGAACTACTATCAGATGAACTCGACCAAATCTGACCAGCGCTTTCCAAAAAAAAGGTTTACAATAAAACCTAAACAGTATAGAGAATTCTAACCATTTCGATACTCTTTAGGTATCATATGATATCTGGGGTTCACCATTCGACTACAAGAGCCAGTAAGTGTTCTGAAAGATAAATGGTTTTTCTTGGTCACTCCGAAGAAAATAAAAATTATTACAAAATTTCTTTTTCTACTAAACCTTTTTGATGTTTTAGTAAAAACAACCCGGAATCTTTTCGGGAACAAGCTATTCTTTGGTGGCGCACGTCAACAGCCTACGAAACCTTATTTCATAAAAGATTTATTGCGAAAACACGAAAAACTAAAGGTTTCGTTTTTTAAAAGACCATGTTCTTGGCCAAGTACAGGAAACAAGTATTTATTGAATTACAAATTTCATCAAGTACTTGCACAAGCACTTATCAAGTACCATTTTTGGAAATTCTTGCGAAGTTCCTGTAATGCATGTTGGCTATCCTAGGTCAATGAATCCTATGTAGGATGCTATGGAATCCTACAGATGATAGGATATCATACGATTTCTATAGGAATCTTCTGAATTTCCTATAAAAATCCTATCATAAGATCTTATATGAATCTTACCATAGGATCGCAACGAAAATCCTACTAGGATTCCTATAAAATTCTGTGAAATCCTATCATAGGATTTCATAGGATTCTTATTTTTCTCTGTTCGGTCGTCTTTTCTATTCACGATTTTGTTGTCAGAAAAACAATTATAAATACGACGCTGAAAAACATAAAAACTCTAGTTGAATAAGCTCAAGTTTTCGCATTGAACAGTGTGAACATCAACATGGAAGCTCACTCACTATTCTTGTTCATCCCAGTCCTGATTCAGAGACTGGAAAAGAATCCAAAAGAGAAAAAGTAAATAAATAAACCTATAAGTAAATAACAGCTGAATTAAGATTGAAAATTTTGGTTTCAGATATGCCAGGATTCCTCTGAAA